GAAACCAGAGCCCCCCCGCCGGGTGCTCCCGCTGGTTCGCGCGCGCCCCTCCTGCCGCCCTGCCGCCGGGTGGGTGGGGTGCATCTTGGGCTGCAGGTCCGGGTCACTTTCCACCCCCTTGTTCTGCTCCCTCCCTTCCTCTCCTTGCTTGAGTTTGGAGATCTTAAGGTACTGAACTTCTTAAAGCTTTCAAGTCTTCCCTGTCGGGGCCAGATTTCCAAGGTCTGCCCCTTTGACTCCAGGAAGCTGAATTTTTCACTGTTGAGAACCTTCCCCCTCGCTTCAAGGAGGCCCCCGTCTGTGGTTGCCGGCAGTCCCAGACTTCCTCCGCACCGGCCTCCAACGCCCAGACACTCCCTCCTTCCACCTAAGTCGGTTAGAGGGCGAGTGGGATAACCAATGCCAAACTTTTTAAAGTCTGATTTTTGGTGAATGAGCTCATTTCATTCTCTAGTGTCTAAAACCTGGTATGAGTTTGGCCAGCGTCATGGAAAGATGTGGTTACTGAGATTTGGGAAGAGGCATGAGGCTCTGCGTGGGTTGGGAGGGACTGAAGATGGGGGTTATAAAATGTTCATTCTAATTGTATACTGATGCCTGGCAACCTGCCTGTAGGACTGAGACAGTCCCGGTTTAGATCTTAGCGTTCTGTGAAATGGAAATGCTGAGGTCACCTGGAAAGCTTTGTCGAGGAATTGATCTTTGCTTTCCTTAACAGGACTGCAGGACATAAACTGAATATGAAAACTTGAAGGAGATTTCAGTGTAATGGACTTCCTCAAAATGAAGTGCTACTTTCTGATTTTTTTAATCAAATAATAATTAGACATATATCAGAAACTTTAAAATGTAAAAGTTGTACTTTGGACATATTATGATTCTTATTCAGCAAAACATTCTGAGGGAGGAACAATCCACATCATTAATAACAACCTGGTAAGAGTCCCAGAGGTAAAGGAGGTGGAATAATTGATGGGATTAGCTCCTGAAATTAACAAAATATGGGCATGCTTCTAAAGGGAAACTGTGCAGGTCTGCTGCATTAAATCCTGTATGCTCCTTTTGGGATTTACAGAAATGTATCAAATGTAAATCTTTCAAAGCCATTTAAAATATTCACTTTAGTGCTCTGTGGAAAAGATGAGACAAGCAATCCTCCTGATTGTATTGTAAACTTTAAGCGTTTATCAAAATGCCGGTACTTAGGACCTAAATTTATGTCTGTCATACCCTAAAATGACAATGGTCTTTGAATTTGGTATGCATTTATTCTGTTCACTATCACAAAATCATCTATATTTATAGAGGAATAGAAGTTTATATATATATATATATATATTATACCATATTTTTAATTTCGCAAATAAAAAAATCAAAGTTTTGTACAAAATTATATGTTTTTTGTGCCTGAAAATAATAGCGTTGAAACTGTCTAAACTACAAACTATCTTTTCATTTTATAGTGTCTCATGGCCAGTCCCACAGTATATAAATTCAGGAATTCAATGAAAAAGCCTATCTTTAAACCTTCATACCCACCCTTCCAAAGACTTCTCGTACTTGCATTGTGATTGACATTGTGAAGTCCCTAGAAAAGATCTGCTTGCAGGACAGTAACAATATAAAAGAGAAGTTTGAACATTATTTCTTTACTCAAAGAAAATTATTAAAAAGAGAACTCTAATTTTAATATTAAACCTTTTTTATGTTTCAAGTGGTAAGTTTACATGATTTTTTATAATATGGAGGTTTATTTTTAAATCATCAGCCATCACCTTTATCACAGTTTTTATGAGGTATTGTCTTATATTTTCCATAATCTTGTATATTCCAAAACCATAAACAGGTATTCAATAAATGGTAAACTGACCGTGTTTATAAGCATTTTAAACAGCAGTTGGTTGAATAAGGTTGTTTTGTTGTTTGCTTCTGAAGACTCCATTTTTATATTGTTTAAGGAACCTTCAGAGGCATTATCTAGTTGGTATAGTCTTAGAATTCATATACATGCATATGTGTAGAATATATATATGTACATATCTATTTACACACACACATATGTATATGTATATATATATATATATATATATACACACACACACACACATATATATATATAAAATAGAAATGCAAAGTTTACTTACACATTTTACAATGTGGAAATAAGGTTATGAGAAAGAGAAAATGCCAGATGGGAAACCTTAAATACGTTTGAAATACCAGTCTCTTATTCCTTTACAGATTAAAAATATCTTTATTAAATTTTCCATGAAAACAAGTGGTGTGATAAAATGACAAGGGGCTAAAATGAAGATCACTGATACAATAGAGTTACTGTCATGCTTATAAGGCTATTGTCTTATGTCATCATTATTTCAAGGTAAATGAAAAAGTTCAATCTAATTGAAAATATAGCATTCTGTTTTAAGTTCCAAGATGATATTTTATGTTCTTTTTTCTTTGTTACATTAATATAGTCAAATCTGAAAAGGTTTTATTGTATAAACACAAAAAATAGCAATTCTTATACCAAATCAAAATATGTCTCTTCACAAGATAATTCAATCAGATAATTTCTGGGGAAAAAAGAGTAAGATTATTTTTCTCTATCCAAGGAATAAATATAAAGCATTCTTATTGTGGGTGTCCTTAAAATAATGTAACTACAAATTTGATGCAGAAAGGTTTTACAATGCTGGATTTAAATAGCTTTTAAAGACATTTTTAAGATGGCACCAAGCTTTGTGTTTAGAAAATAACTTATTTTAAGTTATGTAGAATATAGAAAACCAGTATATTATTTTGTCTCTTCCAATACTGGAGGCAAAATAAGACTGGCCTCCAAAATTGTAAAGCTACTGGGAATTTGGTACCATTGACTTGCTGTTTCCATGATAAACCCTATTTTTAGATGGTTTGGTTTGCCTATCAATGGAATCAATTTCCCCCCCTCACCGTGGTGCTTGATTCAGCTTTTATACATAGTATGAAAGCATTCTGGTGCTCTATTTTTTTAAAGGCATTTTTAACTTGAACTTTGTGGGGGCAGAAAGTCATATTTTTAATCTCAAAGCCAGCAAGTGTCAAACATATGCAAAACAGCTGGACCAGATATTTCAGTTTGTCTGGGGTAGTCATTTGTCAGCCTGAGTTTACAGATTTGGTCCTTTTGTCTCCAGTGACCACTGAAAGCCTTCCTGTAGTTGCATCATTTCTGAAGTCCAGTATTTAACTAAGAAAGGAGACCACAGTGAAGAGTTGGTGGCCAATTAAGAAAAAAAAAATATGCCTAAACCATAAACCATTTCAGGACCTGGATGGTTTCCAATCACTTTCCCTGATATCATGTTTCAATCTTGGTACACTTTGTTTTTTTAAAAGATGCCCATATTTTCAGTGTGTGTATTTGGGTTCAACTTCGCTCCCTCTAGCTTTTATTGCTTTCTAATCCATCTATTGGCTGTAGGCCACATTTTATGTAATGTACACGCAGTTAATTGAAACCAGTGGTATGACA